GCTGCATCCCTAAAGGTAGGTTCTTTTCAAGAGCCCTTCTTGTATCTATGCAACAATACAATATGATTTGAAGCATACACACATGATAATTCGATTGCAACACGTCCTCATGGTATCATGGCCATCGCTCCTTGTCGTGGCTCAAGCAGAAGGCGTGTGGGGTTGAGGAATTGACCCACCCCTACCTTCCGATTTCCATCTACTCAGGCTTTTTCAAAGGTAGGGGGTACTGGCTTTGGTCAAAGTAATTTGATTCAAACTTTTCCCTTGCGAGAGGGTCATTGAGCTATGGACCACAGGGGTGGGTGCTGTTTGACCACTTACCGGTAATCGAATATGATACTTTTCGACGCCAATTCCAGTACGGAGAGCCCATACTTTTAAGATTTCATCCTTCCTCCCTTGAATCCGATCCACCCCACCCTTACTCTGACGGAGGGAAACGTACGGGTTCTCTAAACTATCTGAAACCACCCATGCGAACCTCACAGAAAATGAGGGACTTTTGTGGTACAACCTCATGTATGGGGAGCCCTGAGGACCTCCGTACAAATACCACAACGCTTTGGAATAAGTATTTTAACGGCAGTACAAACAAAGCGCCCTGGTACTAGGGGGCTTATATGGGCTGACCTAACCTTGACCTTGACCTTAGCCCTCTGGTACAAATGCTTTAGTTAATAAATGGGATAAGCACATCCTAAGGTCAGCCATGTGCTTAGCAATTAGTGGCTAAGAATATGAACGACCTCAACGATTGGCTTAGCATAGGGTCCCAACCGTTGCGATCTCCCAGTACCCATTTGAAGCCCTTCCTTCCCCGTTCCCTTCCCTCATGCTCACGCCTGCCGTGACTCTGCTCGCCCCTGCCTTCCATCCTCCCTCTCTTCCCGCGCAGTCAACAACCTTGAAAGCTTGTAGTGTGGTAGATCATGTTCCTCGTCTCACAGTATGCATATCAAGTTTTGATCTGTTTATGTACAATGCAAATTTGAATAAACAGGTTGAGCAAATTCACGGTTGTGCAACGCGTCTTACGCAAAACTCAAGGATATCGGAGAGCTTCCATGTACTTTACATCAATTGCTATGTTGTCATTTGATCTCTGACAAGTGCATCTATCTTCACTTGATGAAGATTTCAAGCACACAACAAGTTATCAGCCAGTGAACCCTTGTATTTGAATGAGGTGAAAAGTGATTGAAGATGTGCCTTCAAAGATGGGATGTCCTGCAGATGAAGCTAAATTGGAGACAGACTTGGCATGAATCAAGCAATGCTTGGCTGGTGCAAGCCTCTAGGCTATCTGTTTGAAAGTCGAATGCATGTGCTTGTCATGCTTGAACCATCTGTACAGTGCTATCTGTATCCAAGGCATCATAGAACCTGGAAGGAAAGATCCCTTACTGCATGCTCTCCATCCTTAGTCAGTATTCATGCCGCTAACAAATGAGGAAACACAACCATCATGGACATCTTGGTGCTTTACCGACATCGCATGCAGCGCAATTGCCATTCACGATATGTCGAACAGTTCCAAGAAAGAGATAAAAACAAAACTTAAAACTCTAAAACTGAAGGTCAAAGTACTAAATATCAGTCAATTTTTAGGTTCTTTCTACCCTGCTTTCAAGCTATCTTGCATCCTTTCATGACAGCATTTCTCCTAAAACGGACGTCGGATTCAAATCAGCACGAAGGTCAAGGTCAAGGTTAGGTCAACCCATAAGCCCCCTACTAAAGATTCCAGAAGGGGATTGGAACGGAATGGACGTAATGTCCTATCGCTGCGCTGCGTCGCTGGTGCCCCGCTGACCAGCCGCCTCAGGCTCCGAGGCTTGTCGAAGCCGACTGCTTCGAGCTTGGTTGCTGCGCCTTCGAGATAGAAGGGCAGCTCCTTCATCATGCGTCGAGCATCCTCCGTGGAGCCGAGGAGGATGCATAGCTTGGACCCGTTCCAGGACTTGGTGTTCAAATCCTCCTCCATGTCGATGCCTTCAACGTTGATCTCGAGCCTGTTAGCGATCTCCAACAAGACTCTCTTGACTCTTGCGATGGACGTGTTGCCGCCGTTGCACAGCCCCTCCATCTCCTTCCTCGTGAAGCGACCAGATGCCGCCGTCGACTTGATGATGATCTTGATCTCCTTGCCGTCCTTGCCGCCTGCCTTCTTCTGCAGTCTTGATGCCTTCTTCAACTTATTTCTGGACACAAAGCGATCAGCTGTCAACTCGACTGCGAGCGCCTCTCTGATCTTCGGGTCTTCGCTGAACAGAGTCAGGTGTATTCCCTCCATCGCTTCGCTCTCTCGGAAAGCTCGAAATGCTGTATCCGAAATGCTCGAAATGCTGTATCCTAAACCCTAAACCCTGATTCGCCTCTGGGCAGCTCGAGGAGACGATCCACTCCACCTCCCTGACCAGCCTGGCATGCCTGCCAGCGGCTGGAGTTGGACCGCTGCAAGGGACTGGCGCAGCAGCTGATAGCGATAGACGGCAGCTATCTCAGCCGTTGTCATGCCGCCCAACTTAGGTCACAAGTTAGCAGGTGGGTCAGCTCTGCCAAGCTGCCCCCTTTGCCCCAGGGTCCTCTCTTGGCTCGAATCTTGAAAGATCGATCGTGCACGATGCTCACATGTACAGCTGTGAACTTGCGACCATCGATCGCGAAGTCCTCTCTTCCCTGCCAGAGCTTCTCCGCTTGTGCATTGCGGAGGAAGGAAACAGTCACCGGGATCTCCTCAGCACTCGCTATCTCGGGTCTATACGGAGCCTTCCACATGATTGCTTTACTCTCTTGCACTGAGTCTACGATCAGTCCGATCTCTTCAAATTTCTTCTTCTGAGCTTCTCTTCATGGTTGACATACACCGAGGAGATGCCCAGGAGAGTCATGGAGATGAAGGAAGTCACCTCGTTGCCTGCTGAGGCGGTGTATGTCTCGACCTTCTCCTTCTTGGCTTCTTCAATCTGCTGCATAAACCACTCTCTGGATGCGTCACTCCATCCAGTCATCGCTTCTTGCAGAAGCTCACGTCGTGCCTGCTGACATGTCGAGCGGATGGCTCAGTTCTGCGATAGCGTCGGGGGTGCATCCCTCCACACTGACAGCCTTGCAAGCCTTGGCTGTCCTGCTGTTCGGATAACGCTTCGCGAAGCTCTTCACCATCTCGACGAGATCAGCTTCGAGGACAGAGGCATCCACAAGTCCGCTCTGCGTGTATTGGCATGATCTCCGATACAGCAGGTTGCGAACATACTGAAGAACCATACTTAGAACTAAGCTATTTGAAGTATACAAACTTCTCGCTTGCAGCTTCCTTGGCGCCCTGGCGGCTTCCCCTACCGTGACCTGGCAAGGAGCCATGCTGCCGAAAATAACCGGCCCTAAACCCTAAACTCTAAACCCTTAGGGTTTAGGGGAAGCCGCTGGCAGGGTGCCAAGGAAGCTGCAAGAACCCTAAAGCGGGCCTGCCTGTCTAAGTGAAACAAGCGGGCCTGCCTGAAATAAGCGGCGGGCCTGCCTGAAATAAGCAGGCCTGCAATGTCACCATTGCAGACTTGTCTACGAAGTACGTGGATAGTACCGGTATCCTTCTGTTTGAATTGTCAACTTTAGGGGTGGATGGTACCGGTATGCTGCCGAGTCCTTGCATTGTCAACATTAAAAATAAAAATCAGCAAGCGTTGACAATAATAATATAAGATTAATTATTGCCCCATTTTTGGCAAGTATCACGGATGGTCATGCTAGTGCGCGTCTGTGTGGTTTGGATGGTTCTGGGAGGCTTGATGAGGCAGGCAGAGGGGGCAAGCAACGTGAGCTGTGGGAGCTGCACGTTTTATGTCTCAGATGAGGGTTTGTTGTCGAGGGAGGGGAGCTGTGACGACAGCTGTACAGACAAGCTGTACTTGAACTCCCTTCAAATTCGCAACATAACCAATGGGACCTTCGATGGGCTCTCCAGATTGCAGCAGCTATATCTTCACGGAAATGAGCTGGAGACTCTCCCTGCTGGGATCTTCGATGGGCTCTCCAGCTTAGGATATTTATATCTTTACGGCAATATGCTGGAGACTCTCCCTGCTGGGATTTTTGATGGGCTCGCCGTCAGCTTGAAGGAGCTTTATCTCTACGACAACAAGCTTAGAAGTCTCCCAGTTGGAATCTTCAACAGGCTGTCCAGCTTGAAATATCTGGAACTTTACAGCAATGAGCTGGAGAGTCTCCCTGCCGGGATCTTCGACATGGTCTCCAGCGTAGAGTTGTTATATCTTCATGACAATAGACTTGGAAGCCTACCAGCTGGGATCTTCAATAACCTCTCCAGCGTGCAACACCTGTCCCTGAACAACAACAAGATCAGCAGCCTCCCAGCTGGGATCTTCGACAGGCTCTCCACCTTGGGGAGTCTTTCTCTTTACAGCAATATGCTGGAAACTCTCCCTTCTGGGATCTTCGATGGGCTCTCCAGCTTGCGCTCACTAGATCTGCACGACAACAAGCTTAGAAGTCTCTCAGTGGGGATCTTCGACAGGCTGACAAGCTTGCGGTATCTATATCTTTACAACAACAACCTCTCAAGTCTCCCAGCTGGGATCTTCAACAGCCTCTCGAGCTTGCAGGGGCTATCGCTTCAGAACAATCAGCTTTCTTGCATCTCTTCGCAGGCGTTCACCGGCTTCTCTTTGCTTTTCCCTCTTGATCTGACAGGAAACGATCTGCCATGCTATCACCTGTCTTGGCCTTCGTCCTGGGGGGTTGCTAACTTAGCGCCATGCATCAGCGAGACTGACTGTGTTGACTATGCAACGAGCATCCCCGATCTCACCACGCCGCCCCCACCAGCGAATGCTGAACCGGACGCGCCACTGCAGGAGAGCTGGATGACCCTCCACGCAGACTACCTCACGTGTCAGATACAGCACGATTGGCCAGAAATCGTTGATAGTGAGCTTGCGATGAACGGGACTATCACCACGGGCGGACTTGGGAAGCGGACGGTGGTCGACAGGTTTGAGGTGTGGGTGTGCAGCGAGCGAGACGACTGCGCAAGGCCCATGAATGCTTTCTGTTACGTCTTTGACGAGCTGAGGAAAATGTTCATGCCATGGTGATGTGCCTTTCTTTGCGGAATGCAGCTCGACTTCGAGTCTGATGCCTTCCTACAGGGGCCTAGCGAACGAGCTCATGTTAAGCGAAGGGGAGGGATAACTCGAGCCCCAACAAGGGTCATCCCTTGTTGTGTTTAAGTGTACTCAAGTTGTAAATGTAATCTGGACATCATCAATAAATCGAATCATCAAATCATGCTGCAGGACGTTGACGAGCTTCGGACTGCCATGCCCACCTTCCGCATTAGGCCGATCACAAGGCATCATGGTTCCCAACATGATGGCACATTCCCTGTCGGGTTTAGGGTTTAGGGTTTCGCAAAGGGCCGACCTCCCAAGGTTGGGAACCCCTTTAGACGGATAAATAGGCGAGAGATGAGCAGAGAACATTACTAGTTAGTTCTTAGCTGTCAAATCCTCGACTAACAGTCTGATAAACTCAAATAATAATAACAGAGTTTAGGGTTTAAGTTTGCAGCGTCATAAAATAATAGTAGCCTGAGCTTGTCCTGTCTATGAATCATGTAACGTCCATCTTATCTTTGATCCTGAGTTCATTGTAATTTGAACATGAGCCATGTGATTGGACCATGCAATACCTCGTGAGTCATACATCCTTCTTTCATCCTGCTTGTACTGCTTGTAACATCAGCTGCAACATGATAAGCTAACATCTCACACACCTTGCAAGCGCTCGTTCTGCGCAAGCATTTCAGTAGTAGTGGGAGCGTTTAGTTAGGGTTTAGGGTCCGTTTCGCTTCATAAACCGTACATAAAGAGATTGACTAACTAAAGCCTAGTCACCCTCCTGATAGCGTCGAGGTTGACGCTTGGACATGCAGGGCAATTATAAACTGGCGGTGGGGAAAGACATACAAGCGAAGGTAAGGGAGGAAGAAGAGACCTGAGGGCTAGACCTTCAATCCCAACTGCCCTTGTTCAGATCCTTGATGTGATTCGATGTTGTTTGTCCTTCCAGGTGGGCATGCGGATAGAAAGCTCCAAGCAAGGAGTGGGGACTGTTTACAGCATCGGCAACAACTCTGAGATCTCAGGTATCACATCGTCCATTGTGTATAAATCAGCTGAGATGCCGTCGTGAAGTCTTGTGGGATCGAGGGCCCATGGAAATTCTCAAGCTTGTAATCGGTCAAAACATCGGCCTGTATGCTTGCGAAGAAGAGAACGCGTATGAAGCAGAGCTGGGATCGCATCTTCCCAGGATGGATTCCTCTAAAGCAGATACACTGCAGATGAGGTACCAAGACGCGCAAAAGAAAGCAAAGAAACTCTCAGCTGCAATGAGCTACATGGAAAAGGCTGATGAAGAGTATCACCGATGGAAATCAAAACAAATTCAAAGACTTCAAAAAGCAGAGGAAGAGAAGCGAAAACGGATGGAAGTATTTAAAACCATAGAACAACAATGAGCAGCTAGAATGCTCGTTTGCGCAAAAAGGAATATATTCACAACATGACCCTCACGCGTGTCTCAGGTCAAGTCCAAGCAAGGGGCTTCAGGAAGTTGTCTGGGTGTCTGTTTCAGCTCTCATCATTCTCCTTCTCCTTCACCTTCCAAGCGGCTTGACGGCTTCTCTAGATCGCAGATCCGCCTCTTCATCTCTCAGCCCCCGCCGCAAGTTTACAAGAACGTCAACCTGCCGTATGGGCTCCGGTAGCCTTGACGACGTGCAGCAGCTGAAGGACACGATGTGAGAGGTTGACGTCATCAAGACGAAAAAAGACGCTAGAACTCAATGTGAGGAGAGTGTGATGGTGATGTGAAAATAAAGTGATGATAATGCGAGTATGAGTGGGTGGGAACACACCCTGAAACTAGCCTGACAGCTGTCTTGAGTGAAGTCCTACAAGGATTCATGACCTTTATCCTTGCACAAATGCTTATCACCTGTGTCCAATCGATACGAAGATAGGATTACACGTGGCTTGCTTGCGATCTACAAATAGCTATCAGACTTAAAACAATCAGAGAATCTGGCAACCTTTTCGTCCCATAAGAGCTGCGCCATGAACTTTGCCCGAGGAGCCGACAAGATCCTAAAGTGAATAGCACATGAGAAGAGCTCATACCAGAATGAGCGCACAAAGTAATCTCCTTGATTGACAAGCTCTTCCCTCGCCTTGTGTTTCACCTGGTATCTTCAGGAAAAGAAAAAACATGCAATGGATCTGACTGCGTCTCGATTCAAACCGTCGAAACAGATCAAGTTCTTCGCCACGCCAATCGTTGGGATATCAGTAACAACACCAATATGCGAAGCAACTCCACATCTTGAAATTCTGTCAGCTCAACTGGTTACAAACCTCGCGGTTGCAACCCGCGAGGATGCAGTATCCCATTTCCATCGATGAGGACGATTTGAGGAAGAAGAGCAGGTTTGTCAGCTCGTATCTCCTGCAGTCAGCAACCAATCAGTCAAATGAGGTCTCTTCCACGGCCGAGATAAACAGCAGCTTTCGGAACAAGCGAATTCCCCGCTAAATGAACGAAAATTTGGTTCGTTCTGCTTCAGTTTTTCTCTCGACATGCACATCAAAAACTCGATAGCCTGTTTTGTCAGGTCTCTGCTGTTTCGCTTGTTGCTACACGCTCAATTGATCGAAAAACTCATGTGAAGCCTAAGAGGATGATGCTATAGCTCCTGTTCACGCTTGTCGCAGCCTACCATCCTCACTCATCTCATACCTCGATCATCTGGACAAGTGGAGGAGACTCCCTGAATTTCGTGAAACAAGGCCCATGAGCGAAGAAGCCCACCTGAAGGCCAGGAACCCGCTGATGTACGGCAGGTCGATCCTGACAGATTTCCTCTTCTCATACAAGACCTGAAGTTGGTTTCAATTACAGCTCTCAGACTGAGATGTTGCATTGAATCGCCTTCATTGAGGGAAATTCCATCACAACTAGTGAAGCCACCGCCTGAAGGTGACAGTAAGTGTAAATCTCCATAGGAAGCAGGTGACCTCCTCCTTCCTTTCAAGCGAGCACGAAATATCAGCTCCTGCTACTCTTTCCAAACCTGCAAAGGTCTCGGGATCGAATGTTAACCTGCACTTGCTTTCAGTCCGGGCTAAACCAGCATTCTATCACCCGACGTCGTCCTTCACTATTGCCTGCTCGAGTTTGACTTGCTCTTCTTCCCATCGTGCCATAAATCTTTCATGCACGGTGAAAGGAAAGACATGACAATATTTGATTACTGTGACTCCATCTTGACTTCTAGTTTTGTTAAATGTCAGAGCCGACACATATTCCTTTCTGAAGAAAAATACCCAAGAGAAGGCTACACAACACGGCCGAGAAGAAGACGTTGGTGCAAGGTCCCATTCATCTCTTCTTCTGCAAAACATTCTTCAAATTCAATCAGAAAGAGGAACAAAGAACCAAAAGGGGAGGATAGTGGTTCGGCAAGCAAGCATTCGATTAAAGGAGGGCCGAAGAAGGAAAAAAGTGGAGGAAGGAGTAGGGAGAGAGGCGGGGAGGAGTGGGAGAGGAAGGGAGAAAGGGAGGGAAGAAAAAAGACTTGTGAGCTAGACAGGAAAAGGAGAGGAGAAGCAGAGGAAAAGGAGAGGAGAAGGAGAAGGAGAAGGAGAGGAGAAGGAGAAGGAGAAGCAGAGGAAAAGGAGAGGAAAAGGAGAAGGAGAAGGAGAAGCAGAGGAGAAGGAGAAGGAGAAGCAGAGGAGAAGGAGAGGAGAAGCAGAGGAGAAGGAGAGGAGAAGGAGAGGAGAAGCAGAGGAAAAGGAGAGGAGAAGGAGAAGGAGAAGCAGAGGAGAAGGAGAAGGAGAAGCAGAGGAAAAGGAGAGGAGAAGCAGAGGAGAAGGAGAGGAGAAGGAGAGGAGAAGGAGAGGAGAAGGAGAAGGAGAAGCAGAGGAAAAGGAGAAGGAGAAGCAGAGGAAAAGGAGAGGAGAAGGAGAGGAGAAGGAGAGGAGAAGGAGAGGAGAAGGAGAGGAGAAGGAGAAGGAGAAGGAGAGAAGGAGAGAAGGAGAGGAGAAGGAGAGGAGAAGGAGAGGAAAAGGAGAAGGAGAAGGAGAAGGAGAAGGAGAAGGAGAAGGAGAGGAGGAGGGAAGGAGAGGAGGAGAGGAGAAGGAGAAGGAGAGGAGAAGAAGAGGAGAATGAGAGGAGAAGCAGAGGAGAAGGAGAAGGAGGGGAAAAGGAGACGGAGCAACGGGTGCAAAGTTCTCTTCCTCGTATGGCTCTGCCCACATTGCCGAGCAAACTTTCTTTTTTGGACTGTAAAAGGATCGTTTTATTTCCACAGCCAAGCCCAAAAAACAACAGGGGGGGGTTGATTCTCGGGAAACAATGGGGTCCTAGGACTGTATACCTAGGGTAGGGGTACTACAACCCACCCCCTGCGCCTGTGAAGATTATTGACAATTGAATGACAAGAGCCAGCGTCATGCATGGCGGGTATACTGAGAGCACATGTAGTTCGAACATGATGATGAACGAGGGAGGGGGGGGAGGGGGGGGGGAAGAATGAGAGAATGATTGGGTTGATCAGCTGCTGATGGCACATCCTTCATGGTTTACATTGATTGCGCATTTGAATCAGAAGGGTTCGTTATGGATTTCCTGGAGAACTAACTTGATGTGTGGCAGATGCTGTCATGACCTACTCTCGGATACGTCATCATGCTGAATGAGTTCCCCGAGCTCTCTTGAAGAAGAACATCCCTTCACCACGTCATTGGCACCATCGCTTGAGCATAATATCGAATAGATGTTGGTGACCTTTGAGCTCAAGCTCGCCCTCGTGGCATGCGCCTTCATGCATCAAGTCATGGGCGCTGCCATCTTTCTTGTACCGGTGTCAGACTACACATTGGTTTGGAAGGAATGGAGGAATCTAGTATGCACGTCAGCGTCGGTTTGGCGTCCCGTGCTCAACCCGGTCGATGTAGGAACTGGAAAAAACGTAACGCCCATCCTTCTCGGGGACATCTTTATGCCCAATCAAGGTCCCCCCAACTTCGTCTCTACCGTGTTGGCTATCGATGAGGAATTGAATGCTTGTCCACAAGGGTATGGTTGCATCCTAGCTACTGCTGAGACCGGGCAAGGAACCCCAGTGCCTCCTCTCTTTGCAAAAGCCGAGTTTCCGGAGTCAAGCACAGTGTGGGACTCTAAAGTGTCGCAATGCATCTGTGCGAATACTTCAGTCAGCTCCAGCGGCATCACGAGCTGCATACAGAATGCAGCGCGTGCAGTTCAACCGATGCTGACACTGGAGGAGAATGGATACGTACGAGATCAAGTTCAGTTCGTGATCAAAGCGCCATTATGCCCCACGGACTACTACGTGCTAGGTCACGTTGGAACGACGGAAGGAGTGCCTCCACCAGCAAACTATCAGTGCATCCATAAACGTTTGCTGAGGCGAGCAGGAAGGGCGGATGGAAGTAAACTGTACAAGTCTTGGTTACCACTCAGCAACGGGACTGCAGTCTGGACAACAGATCCGAATGAAAACACAACAGTGCTTCCAGAGTACTCAAAGCCAATATCTGTCTATTACCCCAACTGTGGCTTTCAGGGATGTCCGAGCCTGATCAGCCCTGATGTTTCATGCGACAACGATACGATCTCCCAAGGGCTCTTCTACGCCGGAACTTCACTTCCCATGCGAATCACAGCGAGCAAGAACCCAAACGATCTCGCTAACTTGGCTCCTTCCATCGGTCCCAGATGTCTGGTCCACTACCGATATTGCACCGACAACTGCGACACTGAACTTGGGACGTCGAGCACAGGCGCTCTTCGAACCGGCCTGATATACGTGAGACCATGGGGAGCCCCCTTGTATGCGGGGGACGACGGGAAGTCGTACGTCAATCTCAAGCTGTACGTCAGCCTGTACATGTACTCAGCTATGAGAGACAAGGGGCTGAACCCTCAAGGCCCCTTCACCTTCCCCTCAATCTCGTTCAACTCCTACCCTCCTGCCACCCAACGAACGGCAGGACTGTCACGCGTGGGAGCAGTGACAGTAACGCAGGACTACTGCATCCTCGAGGTGAACGTCTCCTTCGCCACCTTGCAGTCTGTGCGAGTGAGAGAAGGACCAGCCCTCATCCTCATCTACAATGCAGACTACTCTCTTGTCACGTCTTCTTCTGGATATCCACTCGGGAGGGCGATCGCGAAGTTCTACTTCTATCGCTTGCCGAACGAAGCTGTCATCAACCCTGGGGTTCTCTACAATGGAAAAGGTTGTGTAGCTCCCGTCATGGTTCAGATGCCCTCATATGTCAACCTGATGAGCTACTTCACCTTCGACTGTCTCTGGAAGGACGAGGGGATCAGCAGCTATCGCTCTACTTCCTTCAACCGCCTTGAGCTTCAGACCATTCCTCGCTCTGTTCTCTGTGTGGTACCTGCAAAGACACTTTCTATCGTTTCTCTCCGCATCTCGCTCAACGGCCAGCAGTACCACACCCTCTCGATGAACCTCACGCGTGTCGACCCAGACCCCAACTCAGTCCCAGGAGCAGGAGCTTTGCGCATGTACAGCTTAATTCCGAGGTAGGCAGGCTCTCCCCTTGCTGTTTTGATGTGAAGTGACGATAAACACAGATCGGGCCCAGCAGCTGGAGGGACTCAGATTACAGTGGCAGGGGAGTACTTCTACAACTACCGCAAAAACAACCTCCGATGTCGCTTCCAGTTCACATCTGGAGCAGGAGTTGACCGGGTGGAGGTGGCAGGATATTACATCGACGACAAGAGACTTCAGGTTATCATTCCTCGTCGTTGTTTTGATCAACCCTGACATAACTTTATCATCGCTCACTTCTACATAATTTTCTCACTCCCTCGCCTTCCCTCCTGTCTACCCGGCAGTGCACAAGCCCTCCAGCGCTCAACTCCATCTCCTTCGGTGATGTGATATTAGTGTGTTTCACAAGCCGCTAACTTGTATCAGCTGATGTCACGCTGGCTGTGGATGCATCTGTACGTTCTGCTCCTGATCTGATCAAAACACTTGTTGACTGAAATTTCAGCCCGTGTATGATGCTTCCTATTGCTCCGCTGAGATCAATACCGCCAACCAAAACCTTTACAACTCAGTTCGGTTTTACTATACTGAAGGCAAGCCTAAGCCTCTCCTCTCCTCCTCTCCTCCTCTCCTCTCCTCTCTCCTCTCTCCTCTTCTCTCTCCTTCTCTCCTCTTCCTCCACTTACTCATGCGCTCCTTCAGAGTCCACCACATTCGTCCCAAACGTCGCCTATGAGCCTCCAACTGTCACGTGGCACAAGGTGGGCAGCAGCTGGGGGATAGCAGGACTGACATGCTGTGCCAGTGCTCTGCTGCGGGGCAGAACGTCTCCAAGACCACCACCTACCCCTCCCCCTACCAGACCAACCCGGTCGTCACTCCGGTCATTGACTGCAGCCCCATGCCCAACGCGCCCCCGAAGATCGCCGAGCACGGCTGGTTCACGTGCATCGAGGTGAGGGAGGGAGGGAGGGAGAAGGCGAAGCTGAGAGCGGGCAGGGGCTGAATCCTAAAGGCGAGCATGGCATCAAAAACCCGATATGGTGCTTGCGAGCTGTTCCCTCCAACGGAGCCAAGAGTTATGCCTTCTGGCTGTTTGACCCCTTCCTCAATATCCATGGGTGACAAGACAAACTCTCTGTCCTTCCCCCCCACCACCCGCCCCCCCCGGGCCTTTCCCCCCTTCACTTCCGCGATGACTCTCCTCTTGATATTTCATCTCAGTCGCAGTCGCAGTCGCAGTCGCAGTCTTTCTCCTTGTCCGTCCCTGTTTTCTCCTTGTTCCTCTGTCCCGTTGTTTGCGCTCCTCCCTTCCTTCCTCTCCTTCCTTGCTCAATCGCTTCTTGCTAATCCCGCTGGTTCTTTCAGATATCTTCTCAGAGTTGTTCCCGACATGTATCCTGGCTTCTGCAATCGCCATCGTCTCTCCCTCACGTTGTCGGTGAGATCTTGTCCTCGTCGCATCCTTCTCTCTTCCTCCTCCCTTCCTTTTCATCTTATCTCGCAGGTTCGCATCGTTTTCAACACCATTATCCGCCTCAACCCTCGTCCTGGTCAGACTCTCGAGTCCGAGTGGATCAGAGCGCAAGCAGAGTGAGCCCTTCCTGATCCTCTTCCTGATCCTTCTTCTGTTCCTCCTCCTGATCCTTCTTCTGTTCCTCCTCCTGATCCTTCTTCTGTTCCTCCTCCTGATCCTTCTTCTGTTCCTCCTCCTGATCCTTCTTCTGTTCCTCCTCCTGATCCTTCTTCTGTTCCTCCTCCTGATCCTTCTTCTGTTCCTCCTCCTGATCCTCCCTCTCCCACTCTTCGTTTCCCCTACTCCCCTCACCTGCCATGCAGCGCCACGACCACTTTCTCCAGTATCGCCAATGTTCAAGGAGCAGTTGGATACCTGCGAGCGACAGGAGACAGGGAAGTCTTTGTAGACTGGGAGCTCATGACAGACCTTGAATTCAAGGAGGTCGAAACCTGCCTGCTTCCCCTCCTTCCTCTCCTCCGTCCTCCCTTTCCTCTTTCCTGTCTTCGCTCCCTTTCCCTCCTGCCTTCTCGCGCTTGCCTCGTCCCTCCTCCTCGCTGTACTCTTGCTCCCCCTCTTGGTATCAGTGTGTCCTCCTCTCATCGCCTCTGCCATTCCCCCTCCCTCCTTCATCATTCTCATCTGATAGCAGGAGCTGATTCTGACGCTCGAGGACCTTCGCCTTCTCGTCTCTTTTTCTCCTCCTCCGCCTCCTCCTCTCACTCCCTCCCAGGTCATGATCGGCGACCCAGTCAACGGCAGATACCTCAACAGTCAAGTGTTCCTCGGCACTCGCCTACTGAGAGTGAGAGCTCCAACGGCTAGTCAATTTGTGATGAACCCAACAGGTCCTGTGGATGTCAACTTCATGGGGTTATGAAGATCAAAACTTCGGTAATTGCTCCCATCTTCCTCTTCCTTGTCCTCCTGCTCTTGTTCTCCTTACCTCTCACCTTCCTCTCACAGCCCTCACATGTCTCCTCCTCCTTCTCCCTGATACTTGCTCTCTGTCTCAACATCTTCAATCCTCCTCCACGTAAAACGTCTTTTTGTCTTCTCCTCCTGTTTCTGGCTCCTCTTTTCCTCCTCCACGTCAAACGTCTTTTTGTCTTCTCCTCCTGTTGCTGGCTCTTCTTTTTCTCCTCCACGTCAAACGTCTTTTTGTCTTCTCCTCCTGTTTCTGGCTCTTCTTTTCCTCCTCCACGTCAAACGTCTTTGTCTTCTCCTCCTGCTTCTGGCTCTTCTCTTCACTTTGTTCTTCTTCTCTCCCTCCTCTTCTGATTTTGTTTATCAGTGCGCTGGAACATGCTGTTGGACTATCGCAGAATGTAAGAGAGAAGAGGAGGGGAGGGAGCTGGCAGAGGAGGAGGAGGAGGAGGAGGAGCTGACGATACTGTAGGGATCATAACAGTCCTTCAATCGCTCCACAAGGCGCAAACGCGACCAAGGGAAAGCAGTGAGTTTGGAAGGAGGAAGAGGATTGAGAAGGAAGGAAGCAGAGACATAGAGGAAAAGGGAGAGATTTGGAGGAGAAAGGAGGAGGAGAAGTTGGGATTGATGAATGAGCAGGATGATTGAATATCTCTTCTCGCATCGGGTACGATACTCGACATGCTTCTCCTGCTCCTGACAGTTGATCCTCTCCTGCAGTCCCTCACCTACTCCGATGGAAGAACATCAGCTACATGAAGGCCAAACTTCATGCTCTTGGAGAACTGTGAGCCTTGTCAACTCTCCTCCCCGTCTCCTCCCCGTCTCCTCCCCGTCTCCTCCCCACTCCTCCCCCTCTCCTCCCCTCCCCGTCTCCATTCTCTCATCTCGTCTCCTCCTCTCCTCTCCTTCCTTTGATCCCTTCTCACCTCTCCTCTCCTCTTCTCTTTTCCTCTCCTCTCCTCTCCTCTCCTCTCCTCTTCTCTTCTCCTCTTCTCTCATCTCATCTCCTCTCATCTCCTCTCATCTCCTCCCCACTTTTCCTCACTCCTCTCTTCCCACCTCCTTTCCTGGCTCCCTTTCTTGCTACTTCTTCTTATGCTGTTGTTTTCAGGTACGGCTTCATAGCGTTAACAACTTCAGCCTTTTTCTATTGGTTGGAACAGCTTCTTTATTCCTCCTCCTCCTCCTCCTCCTCCTCCTCCTCCTCCCTACCTTCGGTTCTTGCTTTCACTTCTTCACTAATTTCATCCCTCCTTTGCATCTCATTATAGAATGGGATGCGACACTTGCAATGGAGTACGACGATTCTTTCTACAGAAATCAGTTTCGATGCAACCGGGTGACCTTGAATATGATTTGTTATTCTTTTCTCTATGACAGCTTTCTGTCTCTCTTCTCTCACTGCTCCGCATTCATTAATTCTGATCTTCCTCACCCTTCTTCTTGTCCTCCTGTGTTTCTTCTTTCTTCTTCTTCTTCCACCTTTTCTTTCTATTTTCCATTCTATTTCCTCTTTCTCTTCTTCGTTTCTGTCATTTCATCTTTGCTTTCTACTTCACACTCTCACTGTCATTTGTTCATGCTTATCTTCTTGCTTAGACCGACAACGGGCAATTCAAGACGTACAGGTTCGCAGCTAGTTGACCTCTCCCTCCGGCTCCCATTACTCGTCCTGCTCCTCCTGCTCCTCCTGCTTCTCCTCCTGCATCGTCGATCCTCTTGATACGCACTCACACTTACAAATAGCGGCTTCTTCGGTGATCCGACTACCTACATCGACTGGATGGCAGAGGTTCCCGCTACCACTTCTCTCCTCTCCTCTCCTCTCCTCTCCTCTCCTCTCCTCTCCTCTCCTCTCCTCTCCTCTCCTCTCCTCTCCTCTCCTCTCCTCTCCTCTCCTCTCCTCTCCTCTCCTCTCCTCTCCTCTCCTCTCCTCTCCTCTCCTCTCCTCTCCTCTCCTCTCCTCTCCTCTCCTCTCCTCTCCTCTCATCTCCTCTCCTCGCCTCGCCTCGCCCCGCTTTGCCTCATCCTGCTTCACTCCCTTCGTTATCTCCGCGGGGTTTTGATCCTTCCCCCTTTCTCCCCATACTCCCTTGCCCTACCTGCGCGCTTCTCTTCGCCGCTCTTCTCTCTTCGCTCGTTCACCTACATCTTCAGTCCTGGTCCAAGGGGAGGCCCATGTGCAGCCTGCAGGGTGTCGGCAAGTGCTCAGCGGTCAGTGGGAGAAGAAGGGGAGGAAGGGGAGGGAGGGAGCAAGGCAGAAAGAGAGAAACGGAAGGAGAGGAAAAGATGCTGGAAGCAGAGGATTAGCAGGAGATAAAGAATTGGGTCTTGTTTGAAGAAAGAGACAGAACAAAGACGAGGTTTTGAACAGAAGAAGAGAAGATGATGATTGTGGTTCTCCTCTTGATCTCACTCGATTCGTTTACAGCCGCCCTACACGGAGCCAGCCTCCTTCATAAAGGAACGGATCAAAGAAGACAAGTACTTACACTCTACCTCCTCCCCCTCCTCCTCCACTTCCTCCCCCTCCTCGTCATGTAGTTCTGAAGACAAGCAGGGCGTTGGGCTGTGTGAGGATGCGTGTGGGGTTCAACTGCACGCAGTTCAGTCTTGGGAGATGCATGAAGGAGCAGACGAAGATAGACAACAACTTCCTCGCCAGCTTCCAACCCAAACACGCGGGCGTTCAGATTCCCTACATCCAAGACACCGGATGGTGTAAAGCTTATTACGCCACCGCATTTGATACAGCCAGCAGAACTACAGTAATCCTCCCTCCTCTCCCTCCTCTCCTTCTCATCCCTCCTCCTTCATCTCGTCCTCTCTCCCGTCCTCCCTCCTCCTCCCTCCTCCCCTCAGCTCTGCTCGCAGGACTATCTTTATCGTCGTCGCCTGTCGCCCTGCATTGTCTGCATGCAAGTGAGTGAGAGAGGAGGAGGGGAGCAAACAAGAGGAGAGGAGGAGAGAAGAAAGCAGGGGAACAGCAGGACTGATGGAAGGAGCAGGCGCAAGAAATTTGTACAGCCTTGTCAGGGAGCTCAGGGTACAACGCGAGCGACGACACAAGACTGAACAATGGCGACCTAGACTACTTGTATCCTCCTCCTCTACTCCCCTCTCCTCTCCTCTCCTCTCCTCTCTTCTCTTCTCTTCTCTTCTCTTCTCTCCTCTCTCGTCTCGTCTCGTCTCCTCTTTTGTTCACCCCTTCGTTGTCTTCTTTATTTTCTTCTTCCTCAATTTCTCTTTCCTTCCTCCCTTCCTCAATTTCTCTCATCTCCTCCTCCTGTCCTTTTCTTCCTTCTAAACAACCATTGAACGCGATCAGTCGCTTCCTCCTCAGCTGCTCGACGCTTGTTTGATTGCCACATGTCTGACTTTTTTCTCTTCTTTATCATCCTCTTTCATCTCGCATCTGAAAGGGCGGAGATCAACCTGGTGAGTTTTTCTTGACGCTCCTCTCCTCTCCTCTCCTCTCCTCTCCTCTCCTCTCCTCTCCTCTCCTCTCCTCTCCTCTCCTCTCCTCTCCTCTCCTCTCCTCTCCTCTCCTCTCCTCTCCTCTCCCTTTTCCCTTTACTACTCCTTCCTCTCATTGTGATTGCAGGGATGTTTCGCCATGGCACAAACGGGAGGTGCCGTTCTTGATCGATGCTGCGACAACTCTTGCTCCTCTACCTGCTCGCAATCCCTCGAAACCTGTAATTCACTCCTCCCTCCCTCCCTCCCTCCCTCTTACTTGATCTCCTCCTTCTCGTCTTCTTTGCGTTTTTCTCTTGCAACTCACTTCTCCCCGAGCTTTTTCTCCCTCCCGCCCATCTCTTGTGCTGACTTCCTTCAGGTATCCGTCCAAAGCAGCATCCTGTGTGTGCTGGCAAAGACAGGAAGTCGACGGATCAGTAAATTTCTCCTCTCCTCTCACCTCCTCCTACCCCTTCTCCTACCTCTTCTCCTGCTCCCCTTCCTGCCGCTTCTCCTACCTCTTCTCCTGCTCCTCTTCCTGCCCCTTCTCCTACTTCTCCTCGTCGCCCTCTAATCCTCATCCGCCATTTCCGTCTTCCTCCCTCGCTGACTCTCTCGTGTCATCTCAGGTACACGGACTGCGGCTCTAGCCCTCCTGTCTGCGTCCCCCGCACCTACGTCGGCATGTGATCGATGAAACTTTGTAACGTAACGTGCTCCTCGTCCTTTCTTCTCGTTCTCCTCCTCCCTGTCCCTGTCCCTGACCTGCTCCTCCTTATTTCGACTCCTCTTTCTCTTGTTTCTCCTCTCAGTCTCCCGCACATTCACTTGCACTTTCAACTTTATTCGCGCTACGCGCATCAGCTAAATGCCTGCTGGAAAGTTGTCCACCTGCTCGCCATTACAAGAGCCGAAGGAAAATGCTTGTGCCAAGTGGCGAGAGAGAGAGAGGGAGGGGGGGGGGGAGGGCGGGGGGGGGGAGAGGGAGGAGGGAGGAAGGAGGAGGAGAGAGAGAGAGAGA